TACCAGCTGTGATTCTTGTTTATAATATCGTAATAACCAAATGCATTGTTTTGTTTACAAGGATGGAAAATTTGGCTACGGTCATCCAAGACTCTACAGACACTTTACCTATTCACATTATAGCATTATGTTTCTCTATAACTTTAATAATTTTTACAATGCCCTTCATGTTGGATTCATCTCTTCTATTCATGCAATGAAAAACCGTAACACAAATAAACCAATGCACTGTAGCCCTGTTCAATGAGTCAACTCTGTAACAAACAGTTGTAACACGAACTTACATTTCTCACACTGAGATCATGTAGCTCTTACCCAGAAGTGTGATGATGCAGCCCAGAATAGCCAGGAGGGCGCCRGTGCTCAGACCAGTCGCCGTGTAGGCCACCGCCCCGCACGACAAGGGTACGCCACTGGAGTCGCACTCACACACGCGCACCGAGAGTGTGTTTGTGCTGCTGAGGGCAGGACTTCCATTGTCCGTAATCAACACGGGCAGTCGATACATGGGCTGCTCGCGTCTCCTGAATCCACCTCTCTTTGTCAATACGGTCGCTGTGTTGTCTGCGAAAGCAAGAAGTGCTACATTGCATTAATCAAACATACAAACCCAGCAGGAAGCTTCGCTATGTAATAAAACCTTGTCTCCAGTTGTTTGTTACTGCACTAAAAACACAAACGCTTACAGATTAACACAGTTTAATATAAGACACACAGTGGCATGTCTCTCTGGTCCTGACCACCTGCTCAATAATAACAGCTTTGCTCTGATGGTAAAAAAACGAGGTGTATGAAAGAGAGTGAGGAAAACAAAGAGTGATTACGATAGTTTAAAAAACACATTTTATGACAGCTGTATCAATAGACTGAAATGTGCTTTCAAACTGAGTAGATTACAATAAATGTAGATTTGCCTTGAAAAAAATAATTTTTTGTTATTTATCTGGGGGATTCTTAGATTTCACAAGTCAAAAAAGAAGGAAAAATATTGCATACAAAGAAAATTATGGAGATTTGTCTTATAGATGTATCATTTAAAACAACATGATATGAATGTAGAAGCAAACCAGCGCAAAATGTGGAATATGTTAGAAAAGAACGTGAAAGACATTCAGGTTAAGGACATACCAATGAAAATATATGAAGTAAGAAACAAAATATTTCATCATTAAAGGAGACATGTGCCTTTTTCACATTTAAAATCATTCATTTGGGGTCCATATAAAGTGGAACTGTGATACTTTGGTTTGACGTAACTCAACAAGCCCCTCTTTCACCCCGTTTTTGGGATGTGTCTCAGATCAACTCGTTTTGATGCTGTCTTTTTAAATTCAAACAAGGTTAGAACAGCCCACAGCCCTCTGAATTAAAAGATGCAACCTTGCATGTTGGAGCCAGAGTCTGACCCAGAGCTAGAGGAGAAGTCAACCAAATTGTAGTTGGTAAGTTCAGACCTTATTTGGCAGTTCCGTCGCACATTCATAGTCTGACATTATAGTTCAGAAAACGTCATAAACATAGAGAAAACTGAACGGGTTGAAAAATATGACCCAAGCAGAATATAAAGATATCTTTTCAGCAACGGGTGAAACTAAATTAAAATTTTCCGCATTCCTAAAAAACTTCAAGTACACAACAAAGTGCATTTAACAGGTAAAAAAGGAGATTTTGGACATGTCCCCTTTAACGGATTTTCCAGTTTGTTGTTCCACACAGATACTGTTATAGTCTCCCGTAATCTACAAAATCCTTTCTCAAGTTTATTACCAGGCTACAGATGTTTTCTTCTTTTTAAGGCTCAACCTGAGTGGAACCACTTGACATAACTTGGTTAAGTTTGTGCAGTCAAACTTTGGACATTCTGTTTGAGTTTGCTGTTGCTGTTTAGTACACCAATTTAAGATTGCCAAGTAACTTTTTTTTTAATTTTTACTGGAAAATGAACTACTCYCATGACATGTTAAGTGCTAGCTATCTAACCCTGAGTCATACATGGAAACCAAAYGAGCTCCACGGAGTGCAGATAAATCACTTTCAGGCTGGTTCCAACAGTTTCTATTCATTTTTGACAGCTGGAAAAAAACTTGTAGAGAGATTTTTCAGACTAGTCTAATCCTCCAGAGCTTTTCATGGGCCATGATTTCCAGTAAAAAAAATCTACTTTTTGATTTTTATTTGTATAAAAAAGAAATTCTGGGTGAAAAGTTCAGTGAAAACTTTTTCTAAAATCATATTTTCTCCATTCTACCAACTACTTTATCTTATATTTTCACTGATTTCTGTCAATATAGCTGCATGGTTAATAAATTAATGGTTTGATGGACTTACGTCCGATAAAAATATATAATTTAAATGTATTCTTATAAATGTTAAACTCTGTCGGACTGAGTTTCAGCTCTCAAGGACCACATGTGCTGGAGCTTTCAAAACCCTTCAATCTGAATTATTGTCGATGTGCTGAGAGGTTAGCTCAAACATCCAGTTCGCTGAGTAACGTGTGTGCTCTTAGGTCGACTACTCGGGTAAAAACCTGGCTGCTGCTGCACCTTGTGAAAGGTAACATGACAGCCTCAACCAATCTCCCCCCTCCACACACACACACACACACGGGCGCCACAACACAGGGCATCACCACAGAGAGTCTATCAGCTCTGCACAGGTTTCGTTTTTTTTTTTTCCTTTCAAAGCAGTGGGGATTTGTGGCACTACGTAATGATGAAGTCGAGCACAATTTGCAGGAGTCTTTATAGCTCTATAGAAAAAAAGAGAAAATTAAGTTTACCGCTCACTTTTTGTGTGTAGGTAGTTAAGATATTTTGACACCACAAAGGCAGTTTTAAACTGGTGCGTTAAAGGGGTAGAGTCATTTTCGAGACTAGAACACATGTGGCGTAAACAGAGAGCTATGTTGTAAGTGAAATGAAAAGTGGATATTGACCTGATATGGAGAGCTCAAATGAGCAGTGAGAAAAAAAGTAAATTGCCTGATTCAAAGAAAGTAACCTGCAAACAAACTGCGCATATCTTACCCAACACATTTTACAGTTTCTGAAATATTCTGTCAATATTTTTCAAGGAAGGATTTGATTTTAGGCAGCAAGCAAAAGGGGGCTGGTCTGACATTTCAAGCGTTTGAGAAAGGTGTTTGCATTTCTTATTTATTGAAACTGTTTGAGGAAACTTCCCTTGTAACTTCGAATCATAMAAACTGAACGCTAGCTGTTTGTTTCATAAAAAAATACGCAAGTTCTAATCTTTTTTTGTCAGCACTTCACAGCATTGTTCCTGGTGATTATAAGCATCCATACTGCGGATCAGGCAAATGAAAGAAGTTCTAAGGGGAGAATAAAACTATGAGATGTAGAGTTTTGTTGAACAAACATATATTTTTGAAATGAAAGTCTTTCAAATTTCAAAGTGTCTTTCAATACGTTCACRCCAGTGTAAGGTTCTACATGTATTMATTTTAAAGTGATAGTTCAAACCTTTTGATGTTAGTTCCTGTGAAAAGKTTAGTTAGCAGATTGTAATTATTTTTCTCATCTTACAGGTTTCTGGCTGTGTAGAACGCTTCAGTCACACAGACAAATAAAAGTGTGTAGCCTGAAATGATCAAAGAATCACACCAAAGGTTGTCACACCTTTGTTATCCCGCAGCGTGAAGTTGAGGTTGCCGGCAACAGGTGCATCCAGGGTGAAATAAAAGCGATGGCCGTTCAAAGGTTCGTCTTTATCCACTGCACTGATCTTCTCAATCACCTAAGGATGAGAGGAACAAAAAAAGAGACATTTAAAATCAGTGGGTTTTCTGATCTTTATCTAAACCCACAAGATCAGCAGGGATTAACTTAAGCTACGTTGTTTTATACTGTGTGTCCATGTAAGTCGTGTTCTCCTATACATGGTACATGTATTCAGCTTTTCTGTAATTACACATGATGGCGTGGAACCTGTTTGACGAGCCAAACAAAAGTGGGATTGAATTAGAGAAAACCAACTCAATACTGACCAAAAAGCTTTGTTTTACATCTGTGCCATTTATTTCTTCAAGTACAGTAAGAGCTTATTTGGCAAGAGTCTGGCAATCATTTAGAGAAGAAGTGTTTTCTTTTACGAAGTGATTTCAACAAACCAAATGATTGTACAGATATTTTTTATTCTTTTTTTTTATTATTTTCACAGCCCACAACATGTTCAGTGTGTTCAATTAAAACAGAAAACATCAAACTGCTGGAGAGCTACAACACAACCCTGCATTTTATGATGCAATACAAAGAAACAAAATAAAGAAAGGTTTTGATATTCTCATTGTCAACTGACCACTCGTTTATTTTTAAGTAAATCATGAGCCTCATCTAGCATTTCAAAAAAAAAAACCTTGTAGGTAAAAGTCCGTCTCTACAAACATGGATTGAAGTTAAACCAAACAAGCTTTTTTTTAAATGCTGTACATATTTTGAAGTATTTATAGTCAATACGTGAGTAAAACTAGAGCATTTTTTAAGATATTAAACATTTCCTGTGCAGGTTTAAAGTATGTGGTTTTATTATAAGGCTTTAGAAAGACTGCCTTTGGAACAGGCTGCAGAGGCAGTGAGTAGTTGCAGATTTTGGCTCTTAAGTGAAGACACTTCAACATAATGTTGGACATTGAGAGCAAAGTGATGTGTTACATGATGTGCAGTGCAAACTGATGTTCAACCTGAGAATTTAGGGAAATTTTCTCACCGTTTACTGCATGCCAGTGAAGGAATGCAGAAGATTTAGTTGTTTTGAACGAAATGCAACATTTTAAGTAAAAATTCAAATCTCAGAATTTGTTTGGCCAAGAGCTTATTTACTTTATTTTTTATTAATAATTAAATATAATAGGACATTGAAAACAAACCAGACTCAGTTTTCTCCAGGCTGGTTTCTGGTAGAGTATGTCATGATTTAAGTTGTGGTTTTTAAAACCCAAAAATATTGTGTCATACACAGTCTTATGTCTAAAGTTTTTTTAAATAACATGTCAGATGCAGGGTGGTATTTTCTTTGGCTGTAACAACCATAG